GTAGCTCGTAGAGTACCCGGGGTACTCCTACCTAGCTCCTACACTACCCTGGATACTCGTCGGCGGTTTTGTCATCTACGAGTTTGATGCGAGCACCCACAAAAGAGTACGAGTAAGTACGAGCGCACCGAGTTGGCTCGTACCTAACTCGTATATAATTCGGTACAAACTTGTTACGCTCGTAATAATCTCGTAGTTAACTCGGTGCTCTGCTCGGCATAATTCGTACATAACTTGTAACCAACTCTATAAACTCGTACCTCACTCGTAGCTATCACGTAATAAGCTCGTATAGGTCCTTTCCAAAGATCACGAGTTTTAACTCGTAGAAATCGTACGACTCTTAGGTGAAATAAACCTAGGTGGGAGAGGGGCTCATGGAGTCGCGACGAGGCTTCGCCAACTTCGAAATCAACAGGAACGGGAGAGGGCGACCAACGAAGAGGAAGGTTGAATTTTCAACAGCCGAATCGTACCCACCTGCATGTTCGATAATAATTGATGTTATTGTTATTGTTTAATAGATTAATAAATAAATAATAAATGAATAGAATATTAAAATAGTATGGCATATTATGGTTATTAAAATATCTTGTGTAAGCCATTTCAATAACAATATATCGTATATAGCTCTACAGCAGTGAATAGGTTGATGCAACAGATGCAACATATATTATATCGAAAATAGTATGGGTTATTCTATACTTTTGAGGATTACCATAACCACAACTTGTGAACTTATCAGTGCAGACTCCCTAAAAATGTGTCACCCATACCTTTCCCATCATTTCACCACACCCTGAATGCATTGATTTGTTATAATTTGATTGGTAATCATACCTTTGTTTTTATATTATTTGGCATTACAGTCAGAAAATTAAGTAAAATTTATATATATAATACAATAATTATAATACCGCATTTATTCTAATAAGCACCCCAGGGCGTTATTGTTCTGTTGATTTTTGAGGAGCCAGCGTTTACTCGTAAATGTAGTCTACATGATTAATGTTTAAGTGTTTTTGCATGACTTATAAATCCCTAATTAGCAGTTAATTTCATTCCATTAGGGTAAAACATTGATAATTTATTCAATGTTGAAAATGATGTTGCTTCCGTTTCATCCGTTTATAGTTACTTATAGACAATCCGAAGAAAATTCATAATGACCTCTTTTTGTGGAGGTGGGGGAAGGGGCGCGTTTATTCAATGGGGATTTTGTTGAAAGCAGGGCGTTTATTTGAATAAATACTGTGAAATTATTGCTTTTTTAAACATGATGGATCACATGATGTATGTTAGCCCATAAATTAATTATCATTAGTCTTTTATGCATTCTAAATTATGACGTTTACTCTTTCAACTGTGTTTGATTTCATGTTTTTAAATTTGTTTGGCTAGTTATGTTTATTTTGTGAAAAATAAATAAGGTTCCTCCCTCCATGCATGCGGCGAATGGGTGTGAAATGAACATTACATAGTCTAGTCATTCATTATAGGCCTACTTCTACGTCACGTCTGGATAGCTGGACATTATCTTTTTCAAAATAATTATGTTAAAAGTAGTTATTCATTATTGTAATTGTTTTATAAATTGTACAAGTGCTTATTAGCGTGGACTTTGGTCTGCCTCGCATGACTCGCACTGTTGGTACACGTCCCGCATGAATTACCGTCATGACTCGCTGGATGACTCGCTGACTCGCACTTTGGCAACCCTCAAACAAAATCCAATGTTCTCATATTGTTTGCAAGCTTCCACTGCAAATCCGCGCGATGCCTTGAACTTATTAACTGACTATCATGTATAGTGGTTAAAATGCATGACATAAAATATTGCTATACAATGCTACCAATAGAGTAAGATAAAACATTTCCATTTCAATTTGGAAAATAATTAACCTATATATGAGATTGGATGGGAAAATGGCCAAATAAGGCTTGTGATGAGATCTGAGCATGGGCAAAATAATCATCGTAATAATGGTGTTTCATGGTCATGAACAGCATTTATCATTTTCATAATTTAACTTGAATTGATAAATATATGAAACGTTTATAAAAAAATACGTGTTTATTTCATTGTTCTCGTGACCTTCTTGTTATTAACGGTTGACGACATCTTATAGAAAGATGATTTACCACAAATTACCCTCACATCGACCACCTCCGCGTATAATAATGCCGCTCATCTTGGTACGTCGGTCACAATCGATTTTGGAATGGTGGACGATACATTAGCCTTCCACGGATGTAATGAGCTTCATCGAGAAGTAGCTACAGTGCATTAAGATAAAAATGCACCATGCTCGTCGTTGTTTAATTAAAGGTCATTAATTTATTTTTTATGTTAAGTTAGTTCTGCCTATATTGCGTGTCGTCATTTTTTGAGTTTAACCATCACCATGCCTCCCCACCACGGGGCTAGATATTTACGATGTGTGTGGACAACTCGTCAACCCGATTTAGGAACGGTTCAGTGGGTAGAGTTCTAACATTTGAATGGCATTCAGGACTTCAGTGCGCCCAGTAAAACTTTCCCACTATTTGTTTTATGTACACAGCAATACCACACCTGTTAAATAGTGGTGAAACTGACTGTTTGATACTGTGTTATAGTGGAAATTCTACGAACTCTGACGACAACGGATTTTGATCGTGATCTAAGGTTAGGCAGCAATATAATTTCTATTTTCTAGACCAGCAATGCAGAATGAATAGCACTTTAAGCATTGTGTTCGTTGTTGACATTGTATCAATTTTGAAAAACAGATACGAACGTATTATATTGGCCTATTTAACAGTAAGCCTACGTCATGACTTGTTTTTTTTTTGTATGTAATTTGTTTGCTGTACTGTGCAAGAGTTGTAATTGAGTGAATGGCGTATACGAGTTCGAGTTCATTACTTGTTACCGTAGCCCTAAACATTGAATATAGGTTGTCCTAATGGACTTGGAAGCCGTGTAGCATAATTTATGCTTAAGTTAGAGCTATAGTGAATAATATCAAATAGAGAATATAATCAAAAAGACGTTTAGGCCTATTGAGTGTAATAAATAAAGTGAGTGGAAAGTTGATTAGTCTGTCTATAGGAAAATATCCAACAAATACAGGATGCGGTTTGAACATACAGTAAACAGATCAAAACTCTCGCTAATTAACCACTCTACGAAACAAAGCAGATTGTCTCTGGGTGATATACTACCTAATTCGCCACCAGAGGTGGATGTGGACTGCGCGGCTGCCGTGGGTCGTAAACTTCTGATACCTAATTTTACTGTACTCTACTTAAGGATATGTAGCGGTGTGACAGAAGCGTCGGCAGTGGCGCGTCCCCCCTAAAAAAGCTCGCGCCCCTAGTCTTCCCTCACAGAAAATGCTCCATCATCTAATTTTGCGAGCCAGCACCACTCACTAAAACATCGAGACCCTCCCCCTTCACCTTCTGCCCTCATGAGGCTCTAAGACTCCTAGATACGCCATTGAGTGTCAGTCATCATTGAATTTGACCCATACGCAGCTAATTCGACCCCCTCAGCTGCGGCCAAAATCTAGCAATTTAACAATCCCTGTATTATTAACTGTATTTCTACTACTGTACTACTTAAATAATAATAATAATATAATAATGATTACCATATATATATATACATATATACATATATACATATATATATACATATATACATATATATATATATACATATATATATATACATACATATATACATATATATATATATATACATATATATACACATATATATATATATATATATTTATCATTAATGTTGTTGTGCTGATAGATAAAACCTCACTTACATACGGTAACTTAACACATTGGTAAAGTTCCTTGAGTTGTTATTAAATATGATATTTAATGTATCTTAAACCTTTCGATAATTGATTAAAAAAAACCACATATATATTACTCCTTCAAGGCTGTGTAAATTATAGATGAGTTAAAAATATAAAAATAATACAAATTTGATTCATCTTCAACTATTAACGTGTTTTACAAAATATTTGAAATTCATATACCGAGCTCCCTGCTAATAAAGCCGTGAATCCTATCACACGATATCGTAATATTGCGCTAGTCGTCACACCATTTTTAAATTTATGGGTTTTATAATACTCCGCAATCCGATAGTAATTTATAAACTAGCAATATCATAACACCGACGAAGAAATTACATTCACGTAAAACGTTTATATGTGAATGAGCATTAGTGTAAACGTGTTGCTTAAGAACTCTCTCCTTAACTTAATCGACCTGTCTTATGAATAGAGTGATGTTTAACATTCGCAGTTTGATAAATATTTGTCTATTACTGAAGGCAAATACAGTTTGCTTCAGCTTAACGTCTGAGCTGAGCTTTTTCTAAAGGATACAAAACATATTGTGATACGTGATTAGGCCTATATATAGGCCCTATTTATATATATATGTATGAATTTCATATATATAATTACATATAATTTAATAATTATATATTAATAATTATATTATTATATAATTATAATTATATAATAATAATTAAATATAAAAGAACAAGTGGACTTCTTGGGATTTGAAACCGGGGCTGGTAGTGAGGAAAACACTCTTCTTACTACTACACCAAACTGTTTTCACATATATCGTTTTGAAATTAATGGTCATGTGAGCCCGTATAAGCACACACACACACACACACACACACACTTCTATATCGGCAAACAGTTATACAAGTTTTCGATCATTGTGTCCTTGACATTTGACCCTGACCCTTCAAATTTAGTCACTTCCAGGTGATGGAACATCGTGGCCAAGTTTGACAAATTTCTGATAAAAACTATTTAAAAAAAATCGGGTTTTTTTTTTGTTGGTTGTGACCTTGACCTTTAACCCTTACCCTTCAACATTCAAATACTTTGAGATCTTTGGTCATGGAACATTGTGACCAAGTTTGACAAGTTTGTGGTTGAAACTAAGGGCTTTACATCAATAAATAAAAAAAAAATTGTTGATTGTGACCTTGATCTTTGACCCTGACCCTTCAAAATTTAATTAGCTCCAGATCTTAGGTAAAGGTAGATGGTGACCAGGTTTGACGAATTTTTTTATAAAAACTGGGCTGTAGGCTGTTCACAAGAAATATGCCGACAGTCAAATAAATAGCTAAATAAAAAACCAGGCGAAAACTCCTGCCAACTTCGTTGGCGGAATTAATAATATTAATAATAGTAGGCCATTAGTAATAATATTGTTCTATATTCAAGGTAATTTCGAAGACCGTTGACCATTAAACTATATATATA